CTCAGTTTCCTGGGGTGTTATGGAAGAACCGTTTGCTTCTCTAATAAAAACTGCCCAGACCAGACTTCTGCACTCTGCACAGGTCAGAGCAGGAGGAACTGCCAGAAATGTGTTTACAGATGTGCCCCAGCACTACTGCAGGATTGCACTTGGGCTTGGAAAGCACAGCCCAGCCCTGGATGGCCCTGCTTCCCAGGGATGTTCAGACAAGTGCTCCCACCAACAGCTACAGCCACCCCTAGAGCCCCAGCAGAACCTGCTGATCACTGTCAAACACCAAAGAGCTGGTCTGTGAAGGGGAGGTGTGGTTTAACAGCTGAAAACTCCCTTCACCAAGGTGGTCTTTGCCTCAGGCCACAGAGGTCTGAGAAAGCAGCTTTCCCCACCAGCTTTCCTTCCCAGGGGAAACCTGTATGGGAGCTACAGCAAAGCAGCAGGAAGAGACTGGGACAGCAGCACTGCACTCTGGTGGCAGCACCTGTGTAGGTTCTTTGTAGGAAAGGACAACAAATTGGGTTGGCAGGGAAGGAAAAGAGGTCACATTACAGATCTGCTTGTCCACATGCCTAAGCACAGCTTTGTAGCTCCAGAGGTAAAGCAGAAGTCCAGGTTACTACTATGCAAAAAGGGTTGGGAGTGTCTTACAGTCACAGTTTGGCTGGAAGACATTGTCTCCAGCCCAGTATCCAACTGGTGGAGAACACCTATTCCCTGAGCATCCAGCCTGACCACGGCTGGTTGTTGTTATTTCCACAAGGAAATCTCAAAAGCACTTTGTCAGATCCCAGGCAAACAGCCTTGGTCCTTGCAAAGCACAAACAGGACCCCAGGAAGAAGAGCTCCAAGCAAAGGAGCACCTACCTTATGGTGTTCACCTGGCTGTCTGTCTGGAAGGACCAGTGGTAGTGGACAGGGATTGGGCTGCAATTGGTCATTGCCACACAATCCACTTGTTCAGTGCCATTTATGATGTAGCCAAAGTCCAGGGCCTTGGCCTGGATGTGGAGGTTTGGGAAGTAGACTTCTCCCCGAATGGTGATCTGCTCCTCATGGGGGTGCTCCATGAACTGCATGTTCAGTGTCTTCTCTGCTACCCAGCTATACAAATCCTTTTTATAAGCCGGGTTAAATTGGATGTGGAGATGAATTTCCTCCCCTTTGTCCAGTTTTATGGGCTGCAAGGAGATGAAGAGTATTAATCACCTGTGTGATGAAGTCCCAAGGTCTGACAGCATGAAACATTAAAGGTTTGAAGTGTGACCCCAGCGTGGCCTTCCCAGTTCACCCTTCATTTCTTTATGGTGAAGGTCTGACTGTGAGCATCACAGTCTTGTCCAAGATTCTCTCAGGCTCATGTTTCTGTGCTTGGCAGCAATACAAGGGGATGGCTGCTGGAGAGCTGGGATGCTTTCCAGGAGACTGGATGGCTTGCCCAGACCTAGTTGTCTGCTCCCTGTGTCTTAGAGCCAGGATGGGTCTTCCCAGTTCAGGTGAGATTTTGCTTCCTTCAGCAGCTCTGCTGATTCAGTTCAGGCCAGTCCACTGCTGACTCGACAGAAAGAACTTCTCAACTCGAGGACCTCCCAACAGAAGGGCACCACCACACCCCTCCCTCTTCAAACCCCACCAGCAGGAAGGTCCCTGGCTGTTCACCTGAGCATCTTCAGGGAGGGGCTGCTGGTCCACATCACAGATTAGGAATGGCTTCTTCAAGTCCAGCACAATGCTGAGTGGCAGGCAGCAGTTGTT